AGATACATCATTGAGTCGAAAACATTACAGATCAAGCCGCTGGTTTCAAAAATGAACTTGAAGGAGAAGCACACTTGTCAAGAATAACTTGCCAAAGCACGACGAGTTGCTGGAGAGGAGCTGGAGAGGAGATCGCCGGAGCGCTGAGGATCAGGAGCCGCAGAACTGAAGGCAAAAGAAAAAGGATCAAATTAACAAGATATCGGATTTGCTGAATCGATTAACTTGACGTTCTAAAGTCTATTAACGTTTTTAAATAAGCTGCCTGAATAAAGAAATATAAAAACACGCTCAAATTCAAATTCAATAAACCAACAGGTAACTTCAGGAGAAATCTCACATACTGTAAATCCCAATCCCACTACCCCAGAATTTCGAAAATAGGTTCAGCCACGTAGGAATTCAATGCTACTTGTAAATTTAAGATCAAGTACTACTTACAGCCTGTATCATATTACATTTAACTCCCCGCACTGAAAACCATCGTTAAAATGTGTTCGTGTTATCTCTTTACCCAATGGATTCAACAGGCGAATAAAAGAACCAGCGCCTTCGAGTTTCTGTTCAACAAAAGCACAACGAAACTAAATATATAGTATGTATTAATATATATATATAGTTAGTATAAATCGTTCTGGTGTTAAAATGTTGGAAAATACACGTTTCCCTGTCGAGTTACACGGGTATTAATAGTACAACGGAAGGTAGGAATATAACTTACCTTGGAAAAACTCTTTTTCATAACTGGAGGCCCGTTCTTGAAATCTTTGTCACCTGGAGAAGTAAAAAACAACAACAAACGAATTAGTTTATAATATATTTTACAATTTTGGAGTCACCATGTGAATAAAAGAACCAGCGCCTTAGAGTTTTTTTTATTTCTGTTCAACAAAAACACAACGAATCGAAAATAAGTTATATAGTTAGTATAAATCGTTCTGGTGTTAAAATGTTGGAAAATACTCGTTTCCCTGTGGAGTTACACACATATAAATAGTACAACGGAAGGTAGGAATATAACTTACCTTGGAAAAATTCTTTTTTATAACTGGAGGCCCGTTCTTGAAATCTTTTTGTCACCTGGAGAAGTAAAAAACAACAAACGAATAAGTTTATAATATATTTTACAGTATTTTATTATTTTGGAGTCACCATGTGAATAAAAGAACCAGCGCCTTAGAGTTTCTATTTCTGTTCAACAAAAGCACAACGAAACGAAAATAAGTTACATAGTTAGTATAAACATGTTTTGGTGTTAAAATGTTGGAAAATACACGTTTCCCTGTCGAGTTAGACAGATATTAATAGTACAACGGAAGGTAGGAACAACGTTACCTTGGAAAAATTCTTTTTTATAACTGGAGGCCCGTTCTTGAAATCTTTTTGTCACCTGGAGAAGTAAAAAACAACAAACGAATTAGTTTATAATATATTTTTACAATATTTTATCATTTTGGAGCGGAAAGCGTTATTATAGCCCGAATCCCAAAAGGGGATTACACAGCTGCTGACTTTATAAAGCAAATGTTTGAAGGTACACTACAACCTTTTATCGATAAAGGAAACAGACCTAGAGATACCATATCTTAACAAAAACATACTAATTAAGACTTCGAGAGCACGCTCAAAGAGATCACAAATTTCGGCGTCCTAAAACACAAATTAAACCGAAACAAATGCAATAACAAAAGCAGAAACAACAACACATTTTTG